TGAGTTCCTAGAAATGAGTTAACATTTCCTCTTATCTAGTAGTAAGACATGAGTTTCTCAACCTTAGGGAACCTTGAGATGAGAAGTAAAAGTCGATACTGGAAACTTTATTCTGTAGCAGAAAGTTTTATGAAGTTGAATCTGCAGTAATTGCAGCTTTAGTTGTTCTAATAGACACTAAGTCAGTGAAGTTTGGAGGGCTATGTTGTCATGTAAAGCTCAAAGCTATACTATGTGAAAAGAGCCAGAAAAGAGGATATACTGTGGACCTCAAGTAAAATTCTAGAAAATGCGAAGTAGGGATAACAAGATGACTCAGCAAGTAAAAGTGATGCCACCAAGTCTGACAACCTAAACTCAATCTCCAGAGCCTACCGTGGTAAAGAGAACTGACTCCCAAAAATTCTCCTCTGACCGTGGCACACATGCTCACACAGACACGAAATAAATATTTTAAAACATGAAAGAAATATTAAAGAAGAAAATGCAAACTAATCTACAAAAAAAGAAAACAGGTCAGTGGCTTCCTTTGAAAAGGGAAATGAGAAATAATTTACACACACACACACACACACACACACACACACACAAGCACAAAGTAACGTGTCAATGCTCACTTTATTTGGTGGTACTTTCACTGGTATATAAAAATTAAGTTACTAAGTTCTATGCTTTAAACATAATGATTTGTACATGTCAGTTATGTTTCTTTAAAGCTATTAAAAATTCAATACTCCAGCTGTGGCATATTTGGGGAGACAAGGGAAAGGCAATTCCTTTATTCTGAACTAAGTACTTGTTAAAAATGTTTCCCCTTACTAGAACCTATCAAAGTTTCTTTTCTGTTGCTTTAATAAAGACCTTGACAAAAAAACAACTTGAAGAAAGTGTTCCTTTAGCTTACAAACCCAGGTTATATTTAACATTATAAACATAAGGGTTAAAAGAAAGTACTCCTGCTGGGCAGTGGTGGCGCACACCTTTAATCCCAGCACTCGGGAGGCAGAGGCAGGTGGATCTGAGTTCAAGGCCAGCCTGATCTACAAACTGAGTTCTGGGACAGCTGGGCCTGTTACACAGAGAAACCTTGTCTCCAAAAACATAACAAAACAAAACCAAGTATTCCTGAGAAAGACACACCTGAAAGCATGGGTGTGGGCTTTTCAAAGACTCTTCCATCACACTTTATGGCTATCATAGTTATTTTTTTGAGAATGAAATCCAATCAAGCCTTTTTATGTAAACAAAATTATTCTATCCCATCTACTTCAGAATAAAAGGATCTCAAGATTTAGTCATCTATTTCAATCTTATTTCAGTGGTGCATGTACATGCATGCATATAAGGGCACACACAGTGCCAAAGTACTTGTTGCTTCCCAAAGTTACTAGGTCATATTGAGACTTTCAATGTTTTTTTTCTATTGCCTATGAAGTTTCCTTTTCCCAGATCTGCTTCACTTTTTCATTTACACTGCTCTGGTTAGAAGACAAATTATTCTATCAACAGATCTGTACTATGTTAACATTTGGTCTAAGCTAGGCATGGTGATGCACCCCTGTAATCTCAGCACTCCAGAAGCTGAGGTAGAAGAATCACAACTTTTAGGCCAGCCTGATTACATGAGTTTAGTTTGAGGTCAGTCTCAAATTATAAGTGGATTCGTGGTGGTGTTTTGTTGTTTTTGGTTTTTAATGTGTATGGGTATTTTCCCTACATGTATATCTAGGTACTACATGCATTCTGGTGCTTGTGGTGATCAGAAGAGGACATTTGATCTCCTGGGTTATATCTGGAGTTACAGATGGTTTTGAGCCACAATGTAGGTGCTGCAAAGAGAACCCAGATCTCTGGAAGAGAGGCCAGTGCTCTTAACTGCTGAACCATATCTCAAGCCCCTGAGCTTGTTTTTAAAAACTGTACTTGTAAGTAAATGTTTATTGAAAGGCAGAATGCCTTTGAAACATAGAAGTGTTACAGTGACTTTATTTCAAACTAACAAACACAAAAAAGCTAACTAAATTTTGTGAAACTAAGTGACTATTGTAGTATTAAACCAAATTTCTGTGTTCTAAGGCAAAAGCCCTGTCATGTGCAAAGCGGAATGCATTAATTAGGGTTTTCCAAACAAACACTGGAATTGGCTCTGACACTATCATGAAGGCCACAAAGTTCCAAAATATGCTATTTTTATATAATGATGAACAAGTAAAGCTAGTGATCTAGTTCAGTCCAAGTCTGAAGACCTGGAGGCGAGAGAGGAGAATGCTATAAAAGCTTCATTGTGAATCCAAAGGTCAGAAAACCAGTAGTATTGATGTCCATCTGGGGCCAGAGAAGATGGATATAAGCAAGAAGCACATTTAATTTTATTCAAAATCTCAATGGATTAAAAAACTCTTGTTTGCCTTGAGGGCAATCTTCTTTGGTCTCAGTCCACTGATTCAAAGGGTAATCTCTTCCAATAACATCCCATAGATACACCAGAAAAAATGTTTTACCAACCATCTGGGAATCCCTCTACCCAGGCAAGCTGACACATAACATGTCAAAGTTAGCCATCACAAGTATTTTCATATAGTTGGAACACTGTCTCTTTCCCAGAAGAGGTTTCTGAATAGTGTTTACTTTTCTTCTAACTTAAATACCATGATATAAAATAGTATTTAAAGTACTGATAAAGTGTTAATACATACTGTACAATCTGATCGAGTAAGAAAGGTAATTGCTTAGTATTTGTGTTTACATATAAAAAAGTATATAAGCACACACACATAAATAAAAAATAATTCATGCCAAGCAAAGAAAAAAGCTTTCCTGCTTACTTTTAGTTTATTGGCTTATAACATTTTCCTTCCCACTTATTTCTGCCATACCTCATTTAGCCTGGCCTAGAACTCAGTAGCAGCCCAGGTTGACCTTAACTCATGATCCTCCTGCTTTGCTTCCTAGGTGCTGGGATTACAGGTGTGTGCCACCAGATGCCAGCATTCTGCTCTGTTTAGTGCAATTTTGATCCACAGACACATCACCCAAATCAACCACTAAGTATCTGGGTTATTTGTTTTTGAGTATCTTAACAGTTACTATGAACATTTGTGTGTATGTTTTCTGTAGGAAAAAAAAAAAACAACACACTAATTCTTTTTTTATCTCAAAGATTTGTGTATGGCTCATTATAGCCCAAACCCTACCAATTTAAGGTCAAAATGACGTTTTCAACATGAAAACAGAGCTTTTATTTCAAAACAGTGTCATTATGTAACCCAGGTTGGCCTCCAACTGGAGCTCTCCTTCCCCTAGCTCCTCGGTGCTGGGATTACAGGAATGTGATACCATGCACAGCCAAAATACAATTTTCTCAAATAGTATTAATTCCTGTAATGATATTGTAAACCAGAGAGCATAAAATTAATTGGATTTTTATGCAAGCAATATATTTGTTTCACTTGGGCTCCAAAGCATGTATTTGCAGAATATGCAAATGAGCTTTGAATATAAAATCTTATACTTTATTGTGTATATGATATGTATTGCCTGAGGGCACTTTTAAGACAGGGTCTCATGTTTTAACTCATTCTTGCCCCAAACTTTAAAAAGATGTGCAGGGGGGGGTGGGGTGTGATGTGGGGTGGTGTGGTGGTGGGGTTGGGGGGTGGTGGTGGTGCATGCCTTTTTTTTTTTTTT